AGCTTGTGGATGCGGCGGATTTCTTCCGGGTCTTTGATCCATTGCCCGGCAGCGTCGCGGTAGCGGAAACCGCTGCCGCGCTTGACCCTCGCGAGGCCCGGCATGTCGTCGCTGACATACACCAGGCCCGAGCCTTTGAGTTCGGGCGCCGCAGCGGCTTTCGCGGCGGCTGGGCTTGCGGAAGGAGAGGGCGTCGGGCCGGTGGGCATAGGCCTGCATTGTGCGAAGCGCCGCAAGGCCGGGGTTGTAGGACCCAGCCGCTTTGCGCGGCGGGCCGGAAGCGGTTCAGAACAGCTGGTCGGTGCTGTTCACTTCGCTACCCTCCGAGGGGCTCGCAGGCTTTTTCTCGTCGGGCAGCGGCACTTCATCGGCGCGCGCCAGGGTGGCCGCGCGCACGCCCAGCAGGCGCAGCTTTTTCTCGAGCGGCACGCGCTTGAGGCACTGGCCGGCCAGGCGGCGGATAGTCGCGCCGTCGTCGGTGTAGCTGTCAGAGGTCTGGTCGCGCGTGGCGATCTTGAAGTCGTCGTAGCGCAGCTTGATGCCTATGGTCTTGGCGACATAGCCTTTGCGCTGCAGGTCTTCGCCCAGCCGTACGCACAGGTCGGTGAAGATGGCGCCCAGCTCCGCCTTGTTGCGCACCGCGTGCAGGTCGCGGTCGAAGGTGGTTTCGCGGCTCATGCTGACCGGTTCGCTCTCGGTCACCACCGGCCTGTCGTCCCGGCCCCAGGCGGCCTCGTGCATCCAGGCGCCGGTGGCCTTGCCGAAGTTGTCCACCAGCCAGCCCGGGTCCTGCGCGGCCAGCTCGCCTATGGTGTGGACGTGCAGCTTGGCGAGTTTTTCACCGGCCTTGGGGCCTATGCCGTTGATTTTTCGCACATGCAGCGGCCAGATCTTTTCCTGCAGGTCGGATTCATAAACGATGGAAATCCCGTTGGGCTTGTTGAACTCGCTGGCCATCTTGGCCAGCAGCTTGTTGGGCGCCACGCCGACCGAGCAGGTCAGGCCGGTCTTTTCAAAAATCGCTTTCTGGATCAGCCGCGCCAGCACGCGCCCGCCCTCGCGCTGGCCGCCCGGCACCTCGGTGAAGTCGATGTAGACCTCGTCCACGCCGCGGTCCTGCATCAGCGGCGCGATGTCGGTGATGGTGCTCTTGAAGAGCTGCGAGTACTTGCGGATCTCCGAAAAATCCACCGGCAGCACGATGGCCTGCGGGCACAGCTTGGCGGCCTTCATCATGCCCATGGCGGATCCCACGCCGAATTGACGTGCCGCATAGGTGGCCGTGGTGATGACGCCGCGGCCCACATAGTCTTTGAGCAGCGGAAAGCTTTCCACCGGGATGAAACGCAGCGCGCGCTCGCCCTGCGCGGCCCGCAGTTCCTCGTCGACCTTGCGCCAGCCGCCGCCTATGACCACCGGCAGGCCCTTGAGCTGCGGGTAGCGCAGCAACTCGACGGACGCAAAAAAAGCGTCCATGTCGAGGTGGGCAATGCGGCGGATTCTGGATGCGGGGGAAGGGGACGGGGCGCTCACCCGGCAAGCATAGCAATTCGCAATGGCCTGCGTGCGGTCATTCCGACGCGATTTGGCCCTATTTGGCCGGCGCAGCCGCAGGGCTGGTGTGCTCCTGGCGATAACAACAAGCGCGGCTGCAGGCAAATATTTCCGCTGCTATTTTCTTAGGGGACTTCTAAAATTCCGCCTTTGCCCACAACAGCGCAAGCGTGCCCATGAAGCGACCCAGCCTGCACCCCACCACAAGACGAGGAAAAGACGCGATGAAGCGATGGATCAAATGGGCCGCCGGCGTGGCGGGTGCGGTGGTGCTGTTGCTGGCCGGCACGGCCGTGGTCGGAAGCCAGATGGCTGAGCGCAAAAGCCAGCGCCAGGTCAAGCTGAGTGTGCAGCCGGTGGCCATCCCGGCCACGCCCCAGGCGCTGGAGCGCGGCGCCTACCTGTACAACTCTCGCGGCTGTGCCGACTGCCACGGCGCCAACGGCGCGGGCCGCGAATTCATGAACGACGGCAAGGGCATGCGCCTGGCCGGCCCCAACATCACGCCCGGCGAGGGCAATGTGGTGGCGCGCTACACACCCGAAGACTGGGTCCGCACCCTGCGCCACGGCGTCAAGCCCGACGCCCGCCCGGTGTTTGTCATGCCCAGCGAAGACTACAACCGCCTGACCGACGAAGACCTGGGTGCGCTGGTGGCCTACGTCAAGGCCCTGCCGCCCAAAATGGGCGGCGCCGCCGTACTCGACCTGCCCCTGCCGGTCAGGGTGCTCTACGCCTTTGACGCGATCAAAGATGCCGCGCAAAAAATCGACCACACGCTGCCGCCCGCCAAACCGATTGCCGAAGGCGTGACGGTTGCGCACGGCGCCTACGTCGCCAATATGTGCATAGGCTGCCACGGCGCGACCCTGGCCGGCGGCAAGATTCCCGGCGGCCCACCCGACTGGGCGGCGGCCGCCAACCTGACACCCGGTGAAGGCAGCGCCATGCCGCGCTACAAGGATGCGGGCGCCTTTGTCGCCATGCTGCGCAACGGCAAGCGCCCCGACGGCACGCCCATCACCGTGATGCCGTTTGAATCGCTGCGTGCGCTCAACGACGTCGACGCGCAGGCGCTGTATGCGTATCTGCAAACGGTGCCGGCCAGGCCTTTCGGCCAGCGGTAAGCGAGCGTAAACAATCGCGTGAGGCCGTCGCGCTCTGGCATCATGGCCGGCTTGCCAATCCCTCTTCTCGAAAGTCAACGCCATGCCCTCCCACGCCACCGGAAGTTTTGAAGTCAATCTTGTGCCGCAAGCGCTGGCGAACGCCGACGCCGGCCCGCTGATGGGGCGCCTCTCCATCAACAAGACCTTCAGCGGCGACCTGCAGGCCACCAGCAAGGGCGAAATGCTGAGCGCCGGCACCGCCATCAAAGGCTCGGCAGGTTATGTCGCGATGGAGCGCGTGACCGGCACGCTGCACGGCAAGAGCGGCAGCTTTGTGCTGCAGCACAGCGGCACCATGAACCGCGGCGCGCCGCAGCTGACGGTCAGTGTGGTGCCGGATTCAGGGACCGATGAGCTCGCGGGCCTGAGCGGCACGCTGAGCATCCGGATTGCCGACGGCAAGCATTCGTATGCGATGGATTACGAGATTGCGCTGCAGGCTTGAGATAACGGAATAGCCTGGGCTTAAATCCTCCCCCAGTGAGAGGCGATAATTGTGAGGCGGGGGATGATTCGGCGAGAGTCATTGCATGAAAAGCGCATGCGGTCGCTTCTTGCTCCCTCTCCCCCTGGGAGAGGGCAGGGGTGAGGGTCGGCGGCCTGTGCATGAAGCGGCGGCATACCGTTCTGCGCTGAATCACTTTAGTTGCGGCGCAACCGCCAACAAATCATTGCCGGAATGCACATGGCAAACACCGCGAAAAATTATTTTTTTGATAACTTGGTTTTGCCGTGGTGCGCTCGCTGATACGCACGCTATTTCTTCCTAACCCTGCGCAGATAAATACTGAGAAGGTATTCAATTCGAATTGAAATCGAATCGACCTGCCATGTGCCGGCCGGATTCTGCCAGAAGCCTGTGAAATTGATAAGCGCGAAATTTTTGAAGCGGAAGATTTCGTTGCCCCATACGCACACTCAAAATTTTCCTCATGCAGATGGAGGGTGACAGGCCCAATGCCCGTCACTAGACTGCGGACTCACTTGCGCGGCTCGCGCGCGACAAGAATAAATCGACGAGGGACTCCATGGGATTGTTTCAAGGGCTTGCGTCGTGCTCGATGTGGCTAAGGCATGCATGGTCGCCTCTGGCTATCAATAGCGGCCGCACCGACGGCCCTTTGCACACAGGGCCCCTCTATCGACTGGTGTGTTCCGTGCTTTTTTGCGTCAGCGGCACAGCTGCCTATGCCACACCTGGCTGGATGTACGGGTTCAGCGCTTGCAGCACGGCCGCAGAGGGCGGTGCTTTGTATGTTGCGCAACATAACGGTTTCTATCCGGTAGACGGGTATGTCTACTATCACTCGCTGTTGTCGGCGAACGAAACCACGGGTTTGGTCAGCGGGACCTATTACTCCGTGTGGCCTGCAACCGGGGTGGCTGGTTATCCCCCCGTTCCCTGGTCTCACCAGTTAGCGGCATGTGATTCGGCAAGGCCCGTGGAAATCGAGCCGCTTGCCCAAGGTGCAGGTAGCGGCAATTCCTGTCAGCGCCCGCCTGACGGCTTTAAAACCCCGAACCCCATCATTCCCGCCACTGGAGAGAAAGTCCTGGATCACCAGGACTACGCAGGCCAAGGCCCCGCGGCGCTGAGCTTCACCAGAACCTACAGAAGCGGCCGCCTGTTAGGCGCCATGACAGGCCCAGCCAAAGCAGGCCTGGGCCGGATCTGGTCGCACAATCACGCCGTTCGCCTCAGCCAGGACGGCACAGTCGGCAGTGTGGGTAGCACGGCCAGGGTCTTCCTCGGGAACGGAAGCGTGCGCGCCTTCCACTGGGAGGTGGCAAGCAGCAGCTGGAAGCCGGCCAACAGTACGGACACCCTGGTGGCCAACTCGGCGGGTTTGCTCTATAAGCGCCTGGACGACGACAGCAACTGGCAATTTGACGGCGCCGGAAAGCTCCAGACCGTCACGCAAAAGAACGGGTGGACCACCACCTATACCTACAGCAGCGCATCGACCCCGACAGAGATCGCGCCGGCAACAGGTTTGCTGATCAAGGTCAGCAACCAGTTTGGGCGTACCCTCCAATTCACCTACAACGCGACCGGCCAGCTCACCAGCGTGACCGCACCCGGCAGCCATGTCACCAGCTACGCCTACGACGGAACGGCGGACACATCGCGACTGACGACCGTCAGCTACCCGGCCACTACCGGCAGCGGCACCGTCAGCAAGACCTATCTTTATGAGAACACCACTTATCCCTCGCTGTTGACCGGCGTCATTGACGAGACCGGCAACCGCCTGGCCACTTACACCTACGACAGCCAGGGCCGGGCCACCAGTTCCCAGCTGGCGCAAGGCGTGGAGCTGTACAGCGTCAGCTACCCCGCCTCGGCCGGCGGCGCCACCACCGTCACCGACCCCTTGGGCACGGCCCGTAGCTACAACTACGGCATCGCCCAGGGCAAGCTCGCGGTGACCGGCGCGGACAAACCCAGCGGGGCCGGCAACAGTTCGGCCGCCGGCCGTGTGCAGGATGCCAACGGCTTTGTCACGCAGGAAACCGATTTCCTGGGCGTGAACACCATGTACACCTGGGACATCAACCGGCGCCTGCCGTTGACGACCACCAAGGCGGCCGGCCTGCCCGAAGCCCGGACCAGCACCACCCAGTGGCATGCCACCTACCGTTTGCCTGTGCTTGTGACCGAAGTGGACAGAACGACCGCCTATACCTATGACAGTGCGGGCAACGCGCTGAGCCAGACCGTGACCGATACCGCCAGCAACGTCAGCCGCACTGCCAGCTGGACCTACAACCCTCAAGGCCTGCTCGCCACGGAAACGGATGCGAAGGGCGTGGTGGCGCGCAGTTATGCCTATTACGCCACCGGCAGTTTTGCGCCACTTCCACCATCAGAGCCTTTTGACTCGAACATCCAGTCGGTCAGCGTGCTGTTGCATGGCGGCGGCGCCAACAACTCCACGGTGATGGCGGACAGCGCTCTCACGGCCAAAACACTCACTGCGATGGGGGGCGCCAGGATCAGCACGGCGCAAAGCAAGTTTGGTGGCTCGGCCATGGCGTTTGATGGCGTTGACGACTATCTGTCCGTGCCGGCCAGCCCAGGCAACAACTTCAATTTTGGGACCGGTGATTTCACCATTGAAGCGTGGATTTATCCCCTGTCCCTGTCCAGCCCTCAATACCAGAGCATTTTTGGGGGAGGCAGCGGAGAGTTCATATTTCTGCTGAACAACACCTCGGTTGAGGTGGGGCGGTTTTATATTGCGGGAATTGCCGGGGGCGGGCCGGTCACGGCCAATACCTGGCAGCACGTTGCGGTGTCGCGCACGGGGACAACGCTCAAAATCTTTGTCGGCGGTGTTCAAAAGGCATCCGTGACCGATTCAACGAATATCACCTACGCGGGCTTGCCCCGGATTGGCGCCTCGAGCAACGCGAGCAACTTTGCTTATTTCAACGGTTACCTGGATGACCTCCGGGTCACCAAGGGTGTGGGCCGCTATACGGCCAGCTTCACGCCACCCGCGCTGGCCTTCCCCCATAGCGGCCCCCCTATCGTTGTCATTAATCCCAACGAGGTGGGCCACACTGCGGGCGATTTGCAGTCCATCACCAACGCAGCGGGTCACGTGACCCAATTTACGCAGTACGACAGGGCAGGGCGCGTGCGCCAGATGGTCGACCCCAAGGGCGTAGTGACTGACATCGTGTATACGCCCAGAGGCTGGATCAGTAGCGCAACCGTCACGCCGCCCGGTGGAGCGGCCAGAACGACCAGCTACACCTACAACAACG